AGGCCCAGGGCCCACAAGTGGCACAGTGGCAATTGACTTGTTAACACATTCTTTGGATGCCTTTCTCCCTGTCTCGCATCTGTATTTTATTTTCTTCTCTCCCCCCTCCCCTGCCCCCAAACTGAGACAGAGTTTTGCTTTGTTATCCAGGGTGGAGTACAGTGATGCAATCTCAGTTCACTGCAACCTCTGCCTCCCAGGTTCAAGCAATTCTCTTGCCTCGACCTCCCAAGTAGCTGGGATTACAGGTACCTGCCACCACACCTGACTAATTGTTTGTATTTTTAGTAGAGACGGGGTTTCACTGTATTGGCCAGGCTGGTCTCAAACTCCTGACCTCAGGTGATCCACCCATCTAGGCCTCCCAAAGTGCTGGGATTGCAGGCATGAGCCACCATGCCCAGCCACATTTCTACTTTCTTGCCTGTGTTTCTTGTCAAATAAAACATCTGAGAAGTCTTGTCTAAAAGTCCATTTTCTGGGGCTGCTCAAACTAAGACAAAAGACCCCAGACATGTGCTCCCCTTTCATAGTGTTTTGCTGTTGCTGAGAAGTAGTTTCCCAGCCAAGGACTACAGTTCCCATCCTCTTTACAATTGGTGGGGTCATGGGACTGAGTTATGGCCAATAGAATATAGGTAGAAGTGATGTTTGTCACATCCGGGCTTGATCCAGGAAAATTTCTTGCACTACCTTCCATGCTCTTCCTTATTCTGTCATTTGAATGTCAACACATGTAGCAATCTTGGAAGCCACGTGTTGAAAATGGCAGAACCTCTCTTAGCCTGGATCTCTGAATGACTGAATGGAGCTATGAAAGTGAACTCCCCACTCCCACCCTAACAAATCACCACAATTGCTGCCAGATGGGCTTTATGTTACTAAGAAGTCAACTCCTATTGTGTTAAACCATTAAGATTTTGGAACTTTGCTATTATAGCAGTTAGTGCCAATCCAACCAATTCTGAACTTGGAAACAGTTTAAACAAACACGTTGCCCCCATGCCATTATTATTTCAAGATCCCTTGGAAAGGGGAAAGTGTGAAATTGCTCCAGAGACAAATGCCAGAGGCCACATGAGAAAGAGCATGGACTATGGAAGCAGACTGCCTAGTTTGAATGCCAGCTTGGACACCTACTAGCTACCTGACCTTGGGCAAGTCACTGGTTAACCTCTCTGTGCTTCACTTCTCTCTGTACAAAAAGGGGATGGCAATAACCTTGTGGGGTTACTATCAATTAACATTTGGGAAGCACTTAGCACCCTGCCTAGTACACAATTAATAATAAATCTATACATCCCAAGTTTTCCAAAGGTCATCTTTGCCATGAAGTTTTTAAACTGTTTTCCACCATACAAGCATCATACCTTCTGCTTTGCTATTTGTGAGAGCCTGCACCAAAGCACAGAAATGACTTTAGCACTTTGGATGTCCTATCTTTGCAATATGACTTTGTCTCAGTACACATGAAGTTTTCAGAGTTTGATCTAATCTAGGGTCGGGGGCACAGTGGCTGCTATTGGATTTAAGCTGTGTTAGTTTTAGGTGGATAATTAACCTTAGAAGGAATGATCACCTCTGGACTTTATTTGGTTTTTGTCCATAGGTCTGCAGAGGAGATTGCTCAACCCACTTTTGAGACATTCGTGTGCATTTATTGATCTGTTTGATTTTTTGAGCCCAATATTATAGCAGACACTATTTTCCAACCTTGTATTAGAATGTTGGACAAGAAAAAAATTGATCTCTGCCCTCATAGACCCTATTTCCTCTCAAATGTTTGAATAAGTGAAGGGAGAGCCAGGACAGTTGAAGATGAACCACTCGGCACAAAGTCAGAGGGAATCTGGCTTTGCCTGAGCAGAGGGTCACTGCTGGCTTACAGAGAAACCAGCCGAGCTGATGGCAGTCTCAGGGCTGGGAAAACAGAAGTGGAGGCAAGATCCCAGTGAGAAAGGAGGAGCAGAGAACTAAGCTTGACAAAGGGCCAGTTTTCTCCTTAAGATACTTGGCACAATTTGAAGTTCCATGGAATGGGAGATAAAAAGATAATGCCACACCTGGAAGAGGCTCCAATAAATATATCAAGTATATGAGTTTCCTGTTACTATTGTAACAAAACTTAATATCTTACAGTTTTGGAGGTTGGAAGTTGGAAATGGGTCTCACTGGGCTTAAATCAAGATGTCAGCAGGGCTGAGTTCCTTTCTGGAGGCTCTGTTTCTACATTTAAAGAAGCCTTATGATGATATTGGCTCACCTGGATAATCAAGCAATACATTTCTAAATAAACCATGAGTTGAATAAGAAATCACAATAAAATTAGAATATATTTTGAACTGAATAACCATGAAGTTATAATATATCAAGAAAAGGAATGCTTATAGGGAAATTCATAGCCTTCATCACATATAGTAGAGAAGAGAGGCTGAAAAATCAATGACCTTAACTGCCTTAAAAAAAAAAAAAAAGCAAGAGAAGCCAGGCACGGTGGCTCACACCTGTAATCCCAGCACTTTGGGAGGCCAAGGCAGGCAGATCACTTGAGGCCAGGAGTTAAGAGACCAGCCTGAACAACATGGTGAAACTCCATCTCCACTAAAAAAAAAACAAAAACAGCCAGGTGCTGTGTCTCATGCCTGTAATCCCAGCTACTCAGGAGGCTGAGGCAGGAGAATCACTTGAACTCGGGAGGCGGAGGTTGCAGTGAGCCGCAATCGTGCCACTTCACTCCAGCCTGGGCAATAGAGCAAGACTCTGTCAAAAAAAAAAAAAAAAAGAAGAAAAAGGAGAAGGAGGAGAACACAGAAAGAATAAAGAAGCTAGAGAAAGACCAAAACTCAAAGAAAGTCAACAGAGCAGAAATCAATGAAATAATAAATGAATGTAGAGAAAAACAGCAAAGCCAAGGTTGGTTCTCTGAAAAGATTAATGAAATAGGTAAAATCTTGGCAATACTAACCAAGGAAAAGTGGTAACATAAATCACCAATATCAGCAATGAAAATACTAAATACCACATACTAAAAATGTCAAAAGATAAGATCGTGAATGATTTTATATCAATAAATTTGAAAATTTAGATAAAATGGACAGATTTCTTTAAAAAAAACTTACCAATATTGAAATTTGAAGGATCATAAAACCTGGATATTTCTCTAGCTATTTAAGAAACTCAATCTGTTATCAAAAACTTTTCCACAAATAAAACTCTAAACACAGGTGGCTTCATTGGTGAAGCCTTGCAAACATTTAGGAAAGAAAGAATGCTATTCTTACACAGTGTCTTCCAGAGAATAAGAAAAGTAGCAGCATATTCCAGTTCATTTTGTGAGCCATTATAACCTTGAAACCAAACTTTTAGTGACATTAAGATAAAGAAAACTGCAGAATGATTTCTCTCACGAACACAAATGCAAAAAATCCAAAAAAGAAAAGTAAGTTCAGCAATATGTAAAAAAAAGTTAAACATAATAGCCAAGGGGGGGTTATTCCAGGAATGTAAGAGTAGTTTAACATTTAAAAATCAATTAAAGGAGTCCAGCGTGGTGGTGCACAGCTGTAGCCCCAGCTACTTGGGAGGCTGAGGAGGGAGGATCACTTGGGCCTAGGAGGTGGAGCCTTCACTGAACTATGATCCCACAGCTGCACTCCAGCCTGGGCAATAGAGCAGGACCCAAGCAAGAAGGAAGGGAAGGGAAGGGAAGGGAAAGGAAGGGAAAGAAAGGGAGGGGAGGGGTGAGGAGGGGGAAAGAGAAAGGAAGAATGGAAGGATGGAAGGAAGGAAGGTAAACAGAAAAAGGAAAGAAAGAAAGAAAGAAAGAAAGAAAGAAAGAAAGAAAGAAAGAAAAGAAAGAGAAACAATTAGAGGAGTTTACCACATTAACATAAAAAGAAAAGGGAATCATATAAGTATCTTAGGTGCAGAAAAATACTTGACAAAATGCAACACCTATTCATGACTTTTAAAAAATTTGGGCAACCCAGGAAGGAAGGAAATTTCCTTAGTATGGTTAATAATATTTAAAACAAAACAAAACACCAGCAAAAATTTTGCATAATGGAGAATTATTGAAAACTTTCCCTATCACCACTTCTACTCAATATTGTATTAACAGTTTGGCAGTAACTATTAAAGCTGAACATACATCTACTTCATGATGTGTGGGGAAACCCTGCAGTAATGCATACCTAAGTGCACTAAAAGACATGTAGTAGAATGTAATGTGAGTTCTAGCCGGTGCAGTAACTCAAGAGGAAAGAGATTCCTAAGGATCTGAAAGGAAAAACCAAAACTGACGTTATCCATATAAGATGTAAGGATGTACATAGAAAAGAAACAATTCCAACTAATAAGACAATTCAGCAAGATCACTAGATTCAAGGTCAATATACAAAACCCAATTGTTTTTTTCAGATACTAGCAGCAGATAGAAAATAAAATTAAAATTATATTCACAGCAGCACTATCCTTAGGAGTCCAAACTGAAGACTGCAACGATCAAGAGGAAAGATAAAACGTGCTGCATACACAGTGTAAAATGTGCAATGCTGAGAATGAATAAAGGGCAACTATACACAACATAGGTGAATCTCACACACAGAATCTCCAGTGAAAGAGGCCAAACACAAAATTGTACATATGGTATGATCCCATCTGCATAAAGCTCAAAAATCAGCAGAATTAGTCTATTCTGTTAGAAGTCAAGATAATGGGTACCTTTGTGGCAGGGGGCTGTGCCAGCTCTGTTAACGTTTTGTTTCTTGATGTGGGTGCTGGTTATGTGGATGGGTTCATTTGATGATAATTAAGCAGTACATTTATTTAGGACATGTGACGTTGTATGTATATTTATTATATTTTAATTAAGAGTTCTTACATTTTTATTTAAATTCAGATTTTCCTCAGGCGGAAGTCAGACTTGAGCAGGATCGCGCTGCAGGTGCGAGGAGAGGCAGCCCTCTCTGGGTTCAGCGCTTCACCTGACCTTGGCCTCCCAGAGCTGAGGGCTGCTGGGGACAGTGTCATTTGGGTAGAGTTTCCGAGAGGACCCAGGAGTGGTCCATTCTCTCAATGGAGACCCTTTGGGAGGAAGAGTCTGAGAATCCTTGAGAATTGCGTTCAAAACGTTGGGTATACGAGAGCGCGTGCTTTCCTGGGGGAAGAGCCCACAGTTTTCACCCTATGGACAGCCCCCGAATCCCAAAGATTTTGTGTTTTTGAGATGTTTAGGAGCTGCTGGGCTGGATGAGGGTCCGGGGGGTCAGAAACTTGCGAACTAGCAACTCACCTGGGACCCCCTGCGGATCTCTCTCTGGGTTGTAAGGCGACCAGACTAGTGCGCTCCGAAGCTGCTCAGGCTCCGGGGTGCTGCCCCTTCGCCCTAGGTGCAGCCTCGCAGACCCCGGCCCTGGGCAGGGGGCGGGAGAGAGGCTCGCATCTTGCAGCCCTCTGGTCCCACTGAAGGCACAAGCTGCTCGCTGCCTGCCCCACGGGAGGAGTGCGAGGAGTAACGAAGGTTGCTTTCCCAGGGCGAACCTTTGCCAGGAGGCGCTGCTTGCTCCGGCAGGGTAAAGCCGGACGAGGCGCGAGAGCGGGTTGGGTGACGCGCGTCAGCCGCGGAGAATGAGGCTCGCCTTCTGCGCCCTGCTGTACGCCGGGGTCCTGGGTGAGTGCGCGCTGGGAGTCGAGGTGGGGGCCGGCGCTGCAGGGTGCTCCGTGGAGGCACTGGGTGCCAGCAGCGGCTCGGTCACAGCGGGACCCTGCGCGACGACCGGACAGCCAGCGGGCCTGCAGGGCTGCGATGCACCGCTAAAAGTGCTTTCTCCACGCGGGCGCACCTGACACTTTGGTCCTCGCAGAAACCCGTTGACCAGAGAGAGGATTGCAGACTATGACTAGCTGGCCAAATCCTGTCTGCGGCTTGATGTTGTATACACCTAGATGAGCCGAGAATGCTTTTTCACATCTTTAAATGGTTGAAAGGGAAAGGCCGGACGCGGTGACTCAAGTCTGTAATCCCAATATTTGGGGAGGCCGAGGTGGATGGATCACCTGATGTCAGGAGTTCCAGACCAGCCTGGCCAACATGATGAAACCCCGTCTCTACTAAAAATACAAAAATTAGCCGGATGGGGTGGCGCGCGACTGTAGTCCCAGCTACTCGGGAGGCGGAGGCATGAGAATCTCTTGAACCCGGGAGATGGAGGTTGCAGTGAGCCGAGATCACACCACTGCATTCCAGCCTGGGCGACAGAGTGAGACTCTGCTTAAAAAAAAAAAAAAAAAAAAAAAAAGGTTGAAGGGGAAATCTAAAGAGCAATATTATGTGACATGAAAATTATATAAAATTCAAATTTCAGTGTCCATAAATAAAATTTTGTTAGAATGCAATCATGATCATTCAGTTAAATATTGTCTATGGCAGCTTTCAGACTTGTCCAAGTCAAATATCCCCAAGTTTAAAACATTTTATTTGGGAAGCAAGAATTGAAATTCTGGGCATACACACAGACTGGGTCGTCTTCTATATGTCCAAAGAACAAAGAGAAGATTGGAGGTTTCATAGAAAAGGAGAAATGTTCTTCTAGAAAGTTCATTGGCACAAGTAAAGTTTTGGGGAACTGACAAGTCCTGACTGGTGAGGGACTATAACAGGTAAAATTAACCTTAGAGTGGCAGCTACTTAGCCAGTAGCTGTTAACTAAAACTGGTCTCAGGTTACAATAGGCAGTTTCAGCAGCCAGGCTTGCGAAGAATTTCACATGTGGAGCAATGCTATGAGCCCCGAGTGCTTTTTTGCCCCTGACTTCTCACCGTGTTTTAGTTGGATATGACAAAAACGACCCAGTTCTGTATGATCAACTTTCACAGGCTTCAAGGTCAGAGTTGAGTAGTTGCCACAGAGACTGTGTGGCACACAAAGCCTAAACTATTTACTCTTTAGCCCGTGACAAAATAAGTTCATGACCCCTGGCCTAGAGGCTGTTGATCTCCTTTAAAGTGAAGGAAATGGGGTTAGAGGAGAGAAGGGATTTTTCCCCCCCAGGGCTTAAGGGTTATTATTAAGTGCAGGGGAGGAGCAGGTGGGACACATGCTAGGTGTGCCTAACATCTAACCAGAGGAATTTTTCTTGACCCAAACCGGAGAGCACTTCCAGTACTTTTACCATACAACAGAGAGGTAGAGGGATATAGAGAAAAATCAATCACTGTAGAATGAGATCCACCTGTCACTCGCTGCTGTGTGACTCTGAGCTCTCCCTTGACATCTCTGAGCTGGTTTCATTCACTAGTAATTGCCTTTTCACAACAAACACACAATTACTGTGAAAATGTGATACTGTGTCTAGTGGCAGGCAGAGTTCTAGGCACAGGTGAGTTTCACTGGTAAAAATCCTGCACATAAATGCAAGGGGCCCCTTCCTGTTTTGCAAGGGTGGGGTCCTCCAGGGCTCTTGGCTGGGTGATTTGAGGAAGGGAGTGATGCAAAGTCAATGAACTCATGCATGTGAAGAGCCCTTCCTGACTCAGCAACTGTTGGTTCTGTCCAGCCCTGGTTCTGTCATGTCTGAGACTGTGGTAAATAATTTCTGGGGTAGGGTATCTTATGTGGGGTGAGGAATAACCAGAGCAAGGGCAGAGCAAGAAGGCGGCAGGAAGGGAAGGGGGTGCTGTGATGGCCCTTCACTGGCTCAGCACTGCCACGTGGGGCCACACAGGGAGCTCTGCTGGGGCTAGGGAAGGCTGGAAGGTAGAGCACAGCTGTAGCTCAACTGCAGTCACAAGGAAACCCAGAGTGCATCCCCGCTGAGATGGTTCCAAAATTCTTCCTGAACAGGGTTTGTGCTGTTTGTTCTTCCTCTGTCTCTTGTCCTGGCAATGTCAGGCTCTGACCAAAAGATCATTTTCCCAATTCACCCTGTGTTTACAAACCAGAGGCAAGAGCTGCCCATTTCAGCCTCCGCATTTACCTTCTCTCCTTCTTGGCTGCTGGACCAGGCTGGAGTCTGGGATATGCTTTCCTCAAAGCTCAGTATTCTAGTCAAACAAGAACAATTCTGGTGGCAAATGACAGAAAATCCAACCAAAGTAGCTTAAATAAAAAAGAGCAAAGGGAAGGGGGCAGTTATTGGTATGCCCTGCAAGATCCAGGAGCCAAGGGCTCAGACAGCCAGTACCTCCACCTTGGCCTCCACCTCCTTTCTCAGCTTCTTGCCCTTGCTTAAGAACTTTCTCTGTTTGGTAGGCATCAGCAGCTTTCCCGTTTCAGGATCAGTCTGAAATATTCACAGCGGGCTCTGATTACCACTGCTTTAAATTGCCATATGGCCAGTGCTTTTGGTGAGTGACCTAGTCTAGGTTACTTGACTCTTTCTATCCTTAGCTTGCTTGCGCATACTTTCATTTTCTTTTAAAAATTATTTCTTTCTTTTTTCTGTTTTATAGAGACAGGGTCTCTTTCTGTCACCCAGGCTGGAGAGCAGTGGTATGATCATAGCTCACTGCAACCTCGAACTCCTAGGCTCAAGCAATCCTCCCATCTCACCCTCCTGAGTAGCTGGGACTACAGGTGTGCATCACCATGCCAAGCTAATTTTTTATTTTATTTTGTTTATTTATTATACTTTAAGTTCCAGATACATGTACAGAATGTGCAGGTTTGTTACATAGGTATACACATGCCATAGTGGTTTGCTGCACCCATCAACCCATCATCTACATTAGGTGTTTCTCCCAATACTATCTCTCCCCCATTCCCCCACCCCCCAACAGGCCCCAGTGCGTGATGTTCCCCTCCCTGTGTCCATCCATATGTTCTCATTGTTCAACTCCCACTTATGAGTGAGAACATGCAGTGTTTAGTTTTCTGTTCCTGTGTTATTTTGCTGAGAATGATGGTTTCCAGCTTCATCCATGTTCCCGCAAAGGACATGAATGCATCCTTTTTTATGGCTGCATAGTATTCCATGTTGTATATGTGCCACGTGTTCTTTATCCAGTCTATCATTGATGGTCATTTGAGTTGGTTCCAAGTCTTTGCTATTGTGAACAGTGCCTCAATAAACATAAGTGTGCAGGTGTTTTTATAGTAGAATGATTTATAATCCTTTGGGTATATACCCAGTAATGGATGGCTGGGTCAAATGGTATTTCTGGTTCTAGATCCTTGAAGAATTGCCACACTGTCTTCCACAGTGGTTGAACTAATTGACACTCCCACCAACAGTGTAAAAGCGTTCCTATTTTTCCACATCCTCTCCAGCATCTGTTGTTTCCTTTTTAATGATTGCTGTTCTAACTGGCATGAGATGGTATCTCACTGTGGTTTTGATTTTCATTTCTCTAATGATCAGTGATGTTGAGCTTTTTTAAATATGTTTGTTGGCCACATGTCTTCTTTTGAAAAGTGTCTATTCATATCCTTTGCCCACTTTTTGATGAGGTTGTTTTTTCTTGTAAATTTGTTTAAGTTCCTTATAGATTCTGGATATTAGCCCTTTGTCAGATGGATAGATTGCAAAAATTTTCTCGCATTCTGTAGGTTTCCTATTCACTCTGATGATAGTTTCTTTTGGCCCAGCTAATTTTTAATTTTTAAAAATTTTTGTAGAGATGGAGTCTCACCATCTTGCCCAGGCTAGTCTCGAACTCCTGGGCTCAAGTGATTCTTCTGCCTCAGCCTCCCAGGGTGTTGGGATTACAGGTGTTAACCACCATACCTGGCCTTTAAAATCATTTTTATTGAAGTATGATTTACCTATAGCATAATACCATGTATTCATTTAAAGTATACATATAGTTCAGTGAATCTTAGCAAATATAACTATTCATGTAATTGTCACCAAGATAAATGACATTTTCATCACCCCCAAGATGCCCGCAGTCATTCCTACTTTCTGCCACTATAGATAAGTTTTGTCTTTTCTAGGATTCCACGTAAGTGGAATCATACAGTATATTGTGCTTTGTTTGACTTTTTTTTTTTTTAACTCGACATACTTGTTTTGAGATTCATCCATGTTCTTGTGTGTAGCATGCTTCATTCCTTTTTATTAGTGGGTAGTACTCTATTGAATGGATTTACCACAACTTTTTCACCCATTCACTTGTTCATGGACATTTAGATTGTCTCCAGTTTGGGGCAATTATGAATAAAGCTGCCATGGACATTAGTGGATGAGTCTTCGGAGGACATGTTTTTATTTCTTTTGGTTAAATATCTAGAATTACTGGGTCATACCGGTAAGTGTATGTTCAACTCAACTTTGAGTAGCTGTGCCATTTTACATTCCCACCAGCAGCATTTAAGAGTTTCAGCTGCTCCACGTCCTGCCAGTGCTTGGTGGTGTCAGTTTTTCACAGTTAGCCATTCTAATAGGTATGCATTCTAATTGGTATGTAGTGAAGTCAATCTCCATGTGGCTTTAATTTGCATTTCTCTGGGGACTCACAATGTGAGGATCTTTTCATATTCTTATTTTCTATTCCTATATTCATATATAGTCTTTTATGATGTTTCTATTTGAACTTTTTCTCCATTTTTTTTTTCAAATTATGGGAGGCTTCCTGGCTTTCACTCATACCTTTTTTTCTTTTTCTTTTTCTTTCTTTCTTTTTTGGAAATAGGTTCTCATTCTGTTGCCCAGGCTGGAGAGCAGTGGCGCAATCATGGCTCACTGCAGTCTCAACCTCTTGGGCTCAAGAGATCCTCCCATCTCAGCCTCCTGAGTAGCTGGAACTACAGGCACATGCCACCACACCTAGCTAATTTTTTTATTTTTTGTAGAGACATGTCTCACTATGTTGCCCGGGGTGGTCTCAAACTCTCTGGGCTCAAGCAATCCTCCTGCCTCAACCTCCCAAGCATCTGGGATTGTAGACACACAGTACCATATGGAGCTACTCTCCACCTTTTTTTGTTGTTTGTTTCTTTTAACACAAATACAATGGTGACTGAAAATACTGACTTCTAAAAAAGGCCTTATCTTGACATTCCACACAAAGGCGCATGGCCTGCATAATTCCACTCCCTCACTCGGGCTTCTTACCCTGTCTTGCTGCTACTGAAGACATTTTCAAGTAAATTTGAAGGGCTCTATTTGTCCCTTTTCATCACTGGCATGGGATTCTGTGTAAGGTAATTTGGCATCTTCTGTCCTATTTCTTTTAATATTTCCTACCTATAGACAGTTAAAAAGCAGTATAGGTTTTAGAGTCAAACAGACCTGGATGGTTCAAATATTAAGTTCAACTGCAGTAATTTAATTCCCTGGCAGTTTTTTAAAAATCTCATTTCACAACTGTGAAAATTAGAGGAAAGAAATGTGCTTGGCCCACTGCCTGACATATGGGGCTCAGTCAAAAATGGTAGCAGTTATTATTGCAAACCTCACCTTCTAGAGTTCATTTAAATAATGTTTTGCCCAAATACCACAGATTCGTAAACAGCATTTTGCCTTTCTAGTGCTCTCTACGTTAATTATTCCACCTTACAATGCCAGTAAACTAAAGTCACTGATTTTAACATCCCGGCAACCCTACCGTGTAAGGTTCAAGTCCCCAGTGTTGAGATACTGAGTGAATCACTAGGCCCTACCTGTGGGGGTAGGAAGCATTTTTTTTTTTTTTAAGGTGAGATTCACATAACATAAATTAGTCATTTAAAAGTGTACGAATCAGTAGTATTTAGGGCATTGGAAATGTTGTACAACCACTACCTCTATCTAGTTCCAAAACGTTTTCACCATCCTAAAAGAGAACTCCATACCCATAAGTGGTCAGTGCCCATTTTCTTCACCCCCTGGCACATGGCAACCACCAATTAATTTCCTTCCTGTCTCTATAGATGTACCTAGTCTAGATATTCATATAAATGGAATCATATCGTGGGTAGCCTTTTGTGTCTGGCTACTTGCACTCAAGTTGGAGTTTTCGAGGTTCATTTACCCTGCAGCATGTAGCAGTACTTCATTCTTTTCATGACGGAATAATATTCCATCATCTGGCTATTCCCCATTTTGTTCATGCATTCATCTGTTGATGCACATTTGGGCTGTTTCCACCATTTAGCTATTGGAAATAGTGCTGCTGTGAACATTCGTGTGCATGTGTTTGAGTCCCTGTTGTCAATTCTTTTGGATATATACCTAAAAGTGAAATTGCTGTACTGTATGCTAATTCTATGTTTAACTTTTGATAGAGGTTTTTGGCTTTTTTAGCTGAGGGGTGGGGCAGAATCAAAGAAATGGGCCCAGAGAATTCATGTGAGCCAGGCAGCCTATGGAACTTGTGTGTAGCCCTCTTAGCTGACCCTTTATCTTGTCTTTAACCTCTTCTCCCAGCACAGAAGAGTGAGTGCTGTGGGTCCCTTACACCTCTGGCCTCTCCCTCCTAGGCCTGTGCCTTGCCCCTCCTGAGAAAACTGGAAGATGGTGTGCCGCATCAGATCACGAGGCCATGAGGTGTGCCAGTTTCTGAGACAATATTAAAAAAGTGTTTCCAGCAGATGGTCCCCTTGTCACTTGCGTGAAGAGAACCTCTTCCCTTGAGTACATTAAGGCCATCACAGTAAGTCACTGCTGACTAAAACAGAGTGGAAGAAAGTCTATACTTTCGTTTTGTTTTTCTGCACTTGTTTATTGCTTTCTCCCCACAGGAAGCAGCCCATGCTTTAGAGCAGAAAGAAACAAGCCAAAGATCTGAAAATGCAGGGACTATGGGTGGAGAAAAATATAGCTGCTCAACATTCATTGATAGCAAAAATTGTAATCCTAATCATAATTCAACAACTAATAGAGAATGATTCAATCTCAGTAAAATACCTCTGTCAAGCAAAGCTAGCATTACATTGAAAGAGAATCTGTAAAGGCTCAGAAATAAACAAGAAGCTCTAGTGTCAGTATTATTACTAAATATTGTTTTTGGAAGTTATCGTAGTGCAATATGATATAAAATGCATATAAGATAGAAGACACAAACAAAAACACCAATATTTTCAGATGGTGGAATGCCTAGAAAATGCAGTAGAATCAAGAGAAATGTTGCTATAATTATTTATTAATGAATACATTAGTTTGGCAAAAGATAAATGTATCACAAAGTCATTTTCATATACCAACAATTGTTAGCTGTGAAAAAAATCCCAAAATTGTTATCTCATTTACATTTAAAATAATAAAAAGAAAAATATTTCTGGAAAAATATTATATGAGAGATCTGCAAGGCTTTTATAAATATAATATAGGCTGGGTGTGGTGGCTCACACCTGTAATCCCAGCACTTTGGGAGGCCAAGATGGGTGCATCATTAAGGTCAGGCGTTCGAGACCAGCCTGGCCCCCAACATGGTGAAACCCCATCTCTAGTCATTTAGAAAAATACAAAAATTAGCCCGGTGTGGTGGCACACACCTGTAGTCCCAGCTACTTGGGAGTCTGAGGCAGGAGAACCCAGGAGGCAGTGGTTGCAGTGAGCCAAGATTGCACCACTACACTCCAGCCTGAGCAATGGAGCGAGACTCTGTCTCAAAATAAATAAATAAATAAAATAGTAAATAAATAAATAAAATAGTAAATAAATAAATAAAATATAAAGGTCTGTAACAAGTGAATAATATTTACTAACAAATGAAAACATATGCTGTATTCCCAGATGGAAAGACTAAATATCACATACTTGCGTACCTTCCCAAAGTTAACTCATAAATTTAGTATATGTTTAATCAAAATACAGTCTTTTTAAAAGCATCAATAAAATATTTATAACATTCTTGAGAAAAAATACATGCATGAAATTTTAAAGTTGTATTATGAAAAAGAAAAGTAGCAGGGGAGTGGCTGAGTCCTACCTAAAACTATACCATATTTAAATAACAGTGTTACAAAGGACAGGATACTGGCACATATATAGAAGACCCGGAAGAGAACAAGATTCAGATACATTGTCAGCTTTCTGTATATCCATTCAACTATCTAATTATCTACTTGATATGATATAGATGCAAACTGTGATAGACATTAGGGCATGAGGGTCCTAGGCTTAATAAATTTAGGTAAGATACATGAAGATTTGTTCTTTAAATCAAATTAAATTGAATTTTTATTTGACAAATAATAATTGCACATATTTATGGGGTAAATGTGGTGTTTTGATACATGTATACTAGATTTAGATAAGTATAATAAGGCAAACTTGCAAACAAATGGCTGAGAAAGGGGTCTTTAGTTGGACAACTGGGTAGTCATTCAGAAAAAATAATCAAGTGAGCTTCTTAATCCATTCACCGAAATAAATTCCCAGCTTGACTCAACTTGATTAAAAGACATACACATAACTAGAGAAATTACAAAAGTAGACACATTTGGAAATGTAAAAAAATTTAAACCATGACAAAGAAATGTTTTTTAAAAGCCCTAAGCATGCAGAAAAAAAAAAAATCACATCAGCTATAACAAAACCACAAACTATATAAAGATGTCATTTAAACTTATAAGAAATACTGAAGAATAAGAAACTATAAACAAGCCATTTGCAGAAAAGACATTAAAACTGAGAATATTAACAATAAAGGAAAAATGTTCATCCCTTTAATAAACAAAGAAATGCAAATAAAAGCATTCTAAAAGTAGCAGTTTGTATTTAGTAATGTAATGACATTTCTAAAGTGGTAACACTTCTCACTGGTAGGTTTGCAGTGAAATTGGTATGCATTGCTATTGGCATTATAAGTATACATTTCTATATCATTTCTGGAAACCAATTTAGAAATATTCAGTAAGGGTCATAAAGATGTGCATAAATTTTCATCTATTTTTGTAATGTGTGTGTGTGTGTGTGTGTGTGTGTTTATGGGAAGAGAGAGCGAGAGATTTGTTAGAGGAATTTGACCTTATACAGTTGTGGGTGCTAGCTAAGCAGTCTCTATGAGACTGTTGTCTTTTTGCATCTGTTATTGGGGTTTGCAGAGGAGTCAGTCAGGAAAGAAAGATGTATGTAAAGTGGAGAAAGGCAAGAACTACCCGGAGGCCATAATCATGAGCTGGAGCCCACGGAATGGACTGAAACCCATGTCAATTCTCCTGGCTTCTCATCTTGATAGTGCTCACAAGGCCCAGTGGCCTTTTGTCCTTTTACCTGTATACTAAATCTCTCCTTTTCTTAAGGTAATTCGTGTCAGTTTCTGATGCATGCATTTAATAGAGTCCTAACTTTATACACACATACATAGATACAAATATACATACATATATATATGAATATATATTATAAAATATTTATAAGAAAAAGTGGGATGGAGGAAAAGGGAGGAATACAGAAAAACTCAAGTTGCTTTAAATGTCAATTAATAAATGAATAAAAAGAATGATTTCCATGACAGGTAGGGAGATGATCCAACATCCAACCTCATTGTGGAGAAGAGGCTGTGCAGTTTCCCTGCCACGGGAATCCACATCTGAGAGTGCAAAACCTGACTTCTTATGGATGGAAATATTCTACAATGCATTCACTCACGTACCCAACAAATGTTTATTGAACAGCTGCCTGTGCTAGGTGGTCCTCTAGGTGCTGGGATTCAGTAGGGAATAGAACACACAAACATGCCTCCGCCTTCATGGCGCTTACATTCCAAAGGGGAGGACAAACAATAAACAGAGTTTGTCACATGGTTGATAAGGGCTCTGAAGGAAAACAAAGTGGCATCCAGCATACACGAGGTGGTAGTTTGAAGACTGTGGTCAGGGAAGGCCTCACTGAGGAGATGACATTTGAGCAGTGACATGATGGAGGTGAAGAAGGCTTGAAGCCATGCAAGTGTCTATTGAGCAAGTGTCTCTGGCAGAGGGTTAGAGGAGTCTTTCTCAGAGGTGATGGGCATCATTCATGGTCTGTTCCCTTCTCTTTCAGGCAAATGAAGCAGATGCTGCGACCATTGATGGAGGTTTAGTGTTTGAGGCAGGCCCCCTACAGCCTGAAGCCCATCATGGCAGAATTCTGTGGGTCAAAAGATGGTGTGTTCTCCCTGGGGACGGGTGTCTCTGGTCCGACACTGCAGCAATGGTGGGTGTGGCAAGGGCCCTGTAAGCATTACACTTAGTAGGGAACCAGGTTGCTGGAGCTCTTTGGATTGAAGGAGGCTGTCTCTCATGCTGACTCCTGAGAGCTGGGAAATTGGCTCTTCCTGGGCGACTATAAACTGCACATTTTGATAGAAACTCCGCTGGTGCTGCTGGCCGTGGGGTATCTCCAGCCTGAGAGGGGAGTGCTGTCAAGAGTCCATTGCTCACCCAGTGGGGTCTCACCCATGGGAGGCCCCTCTCTGGAGACACCAAGGACCTGACTGCCTCTCCTTGTGCTAACCCTGCCTGGGCGACAGAACACGGGCCTCCGTCTAGGGTAAGGAGAGATTTGGGGGAGTCTAAGAATGAGGCTTTGCCTCTTTCCCATACTTGTCCATTAGTGTCATCAGTGTGTGTGTGAGCGCAGCCGGCCTCAGTCTGACTCACTTGAAGGGCCCCGGCATATTCCTGGGATGCCCCTGCATCCTTCCTCTTACACCTCCACTTTGTGTTTGAGCTGCAGGGAGAACCGCTGTTGGGGAAAAGGGGGAAAATGGGGAAAAGGAGAAAAGCCCTCAGGGAGAAGCAGTAACAACACAATGGCTGGGCGCTGAAACAATCCCTAAGTGCGCTCCACTCAGTAGGCCCTGTAATAGCTGGTGACCTCGAGGATCCTGTTTCCACTGGCTTAGAGGGACTAGCAGAAAAAAGAACTAGTGTTTATTGACTTGAAAAGGGACGGTGTTCTCTCTCCTGTCAATTAAGGGCTTTTTTTTCTTTTTCTACCCACTTGCCAGAGGATGGTGAGGTCCTAGCATCCCAGAGTTCTGCATGGTACATGCTCCAGAAGATCAGTGACAATATGGCATCTTCCTTTGACCCTTCTTTCTCTCTGCTCCTTTGCAGATCCGCAAACCCACTATTATGTCAATGCCGTGGTGAAGAGGGCACCAACTTCCAGCTGAGCCAGCTCCAAGGCAAGAAGTCCTACGACATGGGCCTGGGCTGGTCTGCTGGGTAGAACATCCCCGTCAGGACACTGCTTCCCCCTAGCTCCCTTGAAACAGATGAGCCAGCTGGGGCTGGGTGTCCCCAGGCAGGGCTTCTGCACCAGTCACCCTCATGGGCTGTGCTGGAGTCACACTGTCTCTGTGAAGTGTATGTGTCCACGGCCTCCAAGATGGAGTGAGGGTAACCTGCTTTAAACATGCACTGGCTGGGGGTGTGCACCAGCAACTCCTGGGAGCTGGCAGCTGAGTCTTCTCTGAGGAAAGGTGTCAGTCCCACCTTCCTCCTCATCCTCAGTCGCTTGGCTTGACAAGAGACATCACTGAGGCCCACTGAGAAAAGCCACCTCCCTCCCAGCTTCCCAGAAAGGCTCAATGGGGCTTCTAGCCACACTGCCAGGACTCAGGCCTCCATGACTTAGGTGAGGGCTTGGGACATGGGCAAGGAAAGGTTGACTGGGCTGGCGCTAGGGTTTTTTGTTTTCTCTAGGCTTCCTGTTCAGTTATGTTGAGGCACAGTAAGCCTAGGGTGATTTTTCAGCCCTTGAAAGATGATGGCCAGATCTTTTTGAACTCTGCAAAAGTACATCTTTTTGAGTCCGACCAACCTCTGCAGTGTTGATGTCTGACTGTGACAGGGACAAGCGGCTGCAGGGACCTGAGAAGGGCTACAGCCTGGATCGCGGTTCTGGCCAGCTTTGCCCTTTCTGGGAGTGATCACTTGCCTCAGTGTCAGGTGCAACTGGACATGCATCTGGGCAGCTGTGCAGTGGCTGGTAGCACACCTCCTACCCAGTCCTCGACAAGCTGTCCCAGCCCTCTCCCAGAAGGCATATCCCATGAGCTACCACAGCCTCTGGATACACAAGGGGAGGTTGAAGGGGAGGCATTTCCTGAGGTAAAGAAGGACTGTTGGCGGTTGGCTGACGTGCAAGTGTTCCTGCTGTGTTTAGAGTTCAGTCTGGCCCCTTCGAGCCTCCATGTGGGTGAGTTAGCAGAACTGCGTGCCACTGGGACTGAAGTCTTGGTTCAGTGTAGGTCAGCAGCTCTCACATCCTGCAGTGGACAAGCTGGAGAACATTCCTGTGGGTTCCATCACCACATGAGTGTGATGCCTACACCTGCAGGGACCCTGGGCCATGCACTCCCTCCGGCTTGGGCATTGCCAGCCACCTCCAGCAGGCTGCACTGGCTGGCCCCTGCACACCCACTTCCTCAGCCAGTCCTGGGAGGTGTGTGCACATGCATGGGCTCTCAACGAGGGCCACTCTCTCGCGCATATGCATGACCTGGAGGCCCCAGCCAGCTCGTGCCCTGGGGTCCATGTCTCTGTGCTGAGCAGCAGCGGCCAAGTTCTTCTCCAGCAGCTGCCTCCCCTGTGGGGACATGAAGAAGTTCCCCCGCCTGTGTCAACTGTGTGCAGGGAAAGGGACAGACAAGTGTGCCTGCTCCTCCCAAGAACCGTACTTCGGCTATGTGGGAGCCTTCAAGTGAGTGAGACCCCACTGCTCCTCCTCCTCAGCCTGATGTTGGGGAGACAAAGGCACAGAGAGCGAACAGGGCCCACCCCAGGCCACCTGGCGCATCAGTGAGAAACCCGGGGTCCCAGGTGCCTCCCATGGCCAAACCTTGCTCCTAACCATCCACAGAGCGCTCTTCTGTGTGGGAGCTCCTGGCCTCCCCGGAGCTTGGGGTCTGCCCGTGTTACCCTCCTGGTCAAGGGAATGCTGGGGAGACAGACTCAGGTCTGGGACTCTGAGATCTACAGACATGGGTCTGGGCTTTCGGCAGGGCCACAGGCCAGGACCTGCCAGCTCACAGCTTTCTGCTGAGCTGCTTCTTGTACGTGTCTCTCCTCATCTCCCTCTCAGCCCCCTTGCAGGCACCTCTGCACACTCCATGCTCCATAAGAGAAATAGCTACTATTCCAAGGCTATCCAAAGTTATTAGTCTCCATGGAAAGGCTTTAAGCCTTTAGATTTTTTTTTTTTTTTAATTTGAACCTGTCGCTTTTGGTTGCTTTCTAAGAGGAAAATGCGGGTCCTTCTATCCCATCCTGCCTCCTCAGAGTTGTCTGGTTTGGTGACTTCCAGGGCTCCTGGCTGCTTTTGGCCTGGGCTTGGCTGTGGGGTTCAGAGGCCCTTCAGACAAAGCCGTCGCCTCTGTGAGGACAGACTAATACTCAGGAACTCTGGGCAAAGCCCTGTGAGCCAGCAGTCCGGGCTGACCCTCAGAGGGGCTGCGTGGGGGAGAAGTGAGGCCTGTGCCTGACTGCGGCTCTCTCATCTGTCAGGTGTCTGAAGGGTGAAGGGTGGTGTGGACCCCACCCTAGCCAGAAAAGCTGGTGTTTTTGTTTTTTTTTTTGAAATGGAGTCTCACTCCTCACTAGGCTGGAGTGCAGTGGCATGATCTCGGCTCACTGCAACCTCCACCTCCCTGGTTCCAGCGATTCTCCTGCCTTAGCATCCCGGGTAGCTGGGACTACAGGCACATGCCACCACACCAAGCTAATTTTTGTATTTTGGTAGAGACAGGGTTTTGCCATGTTGCTCAGGATGGTCTCGATCTCTTGACCTCGTGATCCACCCACCCCGGCCTCCCAAAGTGCTGGGATTACAGGCGTGAGCCACTGCGCCTGGCCCATCTCTAGATATAAGTTGTCTTCTATCTAGAGATCGGTAAAGCTCATTAATGCCACACGACAGTTTCTATGTAAGCATTTCTATTACAGTAATTCCCCCTTATTCACAGTATCACTTTACACAGTTGGACTTGTGGCCAACCAAGGTGCAAAAGTGTTACATTACTACTCTTGCACCTTGAGGCCATTACTAAGTAAAATAAGAGTTACTGGAACACAAGCCCTTTGATACCACGGTGGTGGATCTGATCACTGAGAAGGCTACGAAGTAACTAACAGGCAGATAATGTAGACAGAGTGCATACAGCATTGACAAAGGGAGGATTCACATCCTGAGGGACAGAGCAGGACAGTGCAGATTCTGTCACACTATCAGAACAGCAGGCAATGTAACACTTGTGAATTGCTTATTCCTGGCACTTCCCATTTATGTTGCAGTGCCTTCACAAGAAGGGTGAATATGGTGTAAGAAGATATTTTGAGAGAGAGAGAGAGAGAGAGAGATATTTTGAGGCCATATTCACTTAACTTTTATTACAGTATATTGTTATAATTGTTTGATTTTGGCTGGGCAGAGTGACTCATGCGTATAATCTCAGCACTTTGGGAGGCTGAGGCAGGAGAATCACTTAAGCCCAGGAGTTGGAAGCTGCAGCGAGCTATGATCACGCCTCTGCCCTCCAGCCTGGGCAACAGGCTGTCTCAAAAAAAAAAAAAAAAGGTTCCATTTTTTATTAATTATTGTTGTTAATCTCTTACTGTGCCTAATTTATAAATCAGACTTTATCGTTAAGTATGTATGTATGTGAAAAGAAACATACCGTATTACGGTTTGGTACTATCCGTGATTTCTGGTATCCACTGTGTGTCTTAGAACATATCCCCCTTGAATAAGGTGGGACTGCTGTATTTGTTTTTTCTTTAGTGCTCAGTTTGATTCATCTATAAATCTACTAAACAAATTTTATGAACGTTTAAACAATACTTACCATCTAATAAAACAAGTTGTAATAATCAATTCTCTTAGTCATTGAAATTTCAAATTTAATCACTTTCTTCAGAACATTTCATCATAAATGTCTCTCAACTGCTTCAGGCACCTTAAGCAAAACACACAAATTATTGTAAATATTTCAGAACTTAGTAGCACATCTGCAATTAAATCTGTTGCAAAAGCATTATTGACATGGACAAAAATGTTTATCTTCTTCTTCGTTGTCTTTTTTTTTTTTTTTTTCACATTTAGGGAAAAAAAACAAAACTTTTTCAGAATGTTGGACAGTTTACCACAAACAAACAAAATAATATTTCAGACAAATTGAGTTTCCAGATTCTGGGTCTTATAACAAATTAAATTTCTATCAGATACAGAACATTCAAAACATTTGAAATACAGGTATATAGTCACGGTGCTAAGCTCATTTTTATAATAAATGTCTGCTATATAAGGAGAATTTTAGGTCCTTGCTTTTTACATAGGTCCCAGTTCCTTACAACCTAATGTCTTTCCCTAACACGAAATTGACTTCAGTGTCCTTTGTTCCCTTGTTCAGTTATTCACAATTCACTGTTTCCTCATAATTACACATTGACTACAATTATTACTCATTATTACACGGTTTGTTAGCATTTTGGCAATTGATGCATGTCTTATTATCCACAATTTTAATTAGTGGGGTCACCTATGGGTCTCATCAAGTTATTATTATTACGCATTGACTACAATTATTACTCATTATTACACGGTTTGTTAGCATTTTGGCAATTGATGTATGTCTTATTATCCACAATTTTAATTAGTGGGGTCACCTATGGGTCTCATCAAGTTGCTCCAAATAATTATTATGTCCTTTGGATGCTCAAGTTACCACACTTAATGATAGTGGCAGCATCTTCTATCTCCCCCTGAAGTATTTGAAAGCATCTTCACTTTATGGAAACAACAGATTGTCCCAGACCATCTTGATTTACCTTTATCCAAAGTCACTTGTGTATTTTGTAAGACCCCTTCTTACCTGGTAGGAGAATGTCCTGAGATGATGACAATGAGTGCGGGTGGAGAGCCCTGGGCTGCTCTTGCCACCCTGGGCCCTTGAGTGGTCAAGGTAGAAAACTGATTTATTTCTGAAGCCATTACGTCATATTGATTCTCTAAATTTAATACTAATATTACTAAATAATTTTGAAATTTTTCTTTGAATGTAAAGATGTAAAACATATTTTCTAGAGAAAATACAGAATTAAAATTGTAACCACTCACAGGAGCCCTGATGACACTCTTTCTCTTTCAGTTTGAGATTTTATCAACCCCAAAGACCATCTGATGCAGGAGAATAGGGAATTAGGGTAATCAAGGGTGAAGGCATAAGCAATAGCAGGCGTAGTCAGTTAGTTCTAGGCAAGACATAGGTCACATCCTCGCTCCTGTGATAACAAGACCGAAGTCTCCACTTCAGCCTCCGATTGACCATGGGCCAGTCCTTTATAGGGTATAACCAACTGGAGGCCTCTAAAGGGCACCTGGGGTGTTATCAAATTCTTTTTGCTTAATAAAAACCCTAGGGCCGGGCGCGGTGGCTCAAGCCTGTAATCCCAGCACTTTGGGAGGCCGAGACGGGTGGATCACGAGGTCAGGAGATCGAGACCATCCTGGCTAACACGGTGAAACCCCGTCTCTACTAAAAAATACAAAAAACTAGCCGGGCACGGTGGCGGGCGCCTGTAGTCCCAGCTACTCGGGAGGCTGAGGCAGGAGAATGGCGTGAACCCGGGAGGCGGAGCTTGCAGTGAGCTGAGATCCGGCCACTGCACTCCAGCCTGGGCGGCAGAGCGAGACTCCGTCTCAAAAAAAAAAAAAAACAAAAAAAAAATAAAAATAAAAATAAAAACCCTAAAGAACACTGTAATCAAGGCTCTGGAGCCTGCTCCCGCTCTGTGGAGTATACTTTCACTTCAATTAATCTGTGCTTTCATTGCTTCTTCTATTGCTTCATTCTCTTGTTGCTTTGTTTGTGCATTTTCTCCAATTCTTTGTTCAATGTGCCGAGAACCTGGACAACTCACAGTCAAGACTTTCCATCCAGTAACACATCTGCATTTGTTTTCTAGGACTGCTGTAGCAAAGAACCATGAACTAGGTGGTTTAAGCAACATAAATGTCTTGTCCGTTACCTCCGGAGGCTAAAATTCCAAGATCATGATGTTGGCAGGGTTGGGTCCTCCTGAGAGCCGTGAGGAGAATCTGTTCCAGGCCGCTCTCCTTGCTTCTGGTGGTTTGCTGCTGATCTTTGGTGTTGCTTGACTCACAGACACATCACTCCAATCTCTGCCTTTATATTCACATGACCTGTGTGCATGTCTTCTGTGTACAAACTCCCCTTTTTCATAAGGACACCAGTCATATTGGATTAGGGGTCCACCCTAACCCAGTGTGACCGCATCTTAACTAATTACATTTTCAAGGACCCTATTTCCAAATAAGATCACATTCTGAGGTAATGTGGATTCGGACTTCAATATACGAATTTATTGAACCCATAACACTTTCCAATACCTAGACAATGGAATCAAAGAGCCTGTTTTCCTCATAGGGTCTTTCTGGTTCATCTTTGTACCTGCAGGTTACCCTGACTGGGCCCCGAGACCTACTTCCATCTCTCAACCCTCTCACCTTTCCCCAGCAGTCTCTGTATCAAAGGGAATGTGGCCCCTTTAGTGGGGGACCTAGGCTGTCCTGGCATGGTAATGCATCAGCCCCAGACTAGTTACCTTAAGTCTCTGAGTCTCAGTTTCCTCATCTGTAGAATGGGATAATCATATTACTGGCCTCTCCAAGTTGTTGTGAGGATTAAATGCAACAGAGCCTGGAGAGCCTTCGGCAAGTCTTTGATGAGCTATGAGTGCAGAGTACACATTTGCTGTCACCATTCCTGTCAGCAGAGCCACAGAGAAGTGGGGCAGTTGCGCTGGGCCAGGCACACCTCCCAGCCCTGTGTCTACCTGCAGTGAGATTGTGAACCAGCTGTTTCACTCCCGAGGCCTCTAGTCCTTACCTGTATAAAATGTTTTTGGAAAAAAATTCTCTCTCAGTCCTCTTCAGGCCACATATTTGATGGTTCATTGAGGGGCATGGGTCATCCTAACTACGGCTCATGGCTTTCCAGTGTTAGGCTCACCTGGGCTTTCCCTCCCCAGACAACCTGGCAAACAAGGCCGACAGGGACCAGTATGCGCTGCTTTGCCAGAACAACACCCGGAAGCCGGTATATGGATACAAGCACTGCCATTTGGTCTGGGTCCCTTCTCATGCTGTCATGGCCCGAAGTGTGGGTGGCAAGGAGGACTTGATCTGGGAGCTTCTCAACCAGGCCCAGGTATCTCCACCTGCCATCCTCCCCTCTGGCTTAGTGCTCCCTGCTTGGATTTGGAGAGAGGTTAACTTCCTTGACTTCTTGTCACTCTGGAAGTCCTGGTGTGTTCAGGGTACAGTGGGAGCCATGCCACACGTGATCCTCTTCACTGAAAAATCGCTCAGTCTATATGTATTATAGACAGCAGAGGCATAAAACCTCGTCTGGAACCACGAACCTGGTGGACTAAAGATTCTCTGCAGAAGTTCTTTTTGTCCCATTTAATTATTTTTCATTCTAAACGGGTCCTCAGGATGAGCTCACATGCCCCTCTTCCTCCACAAAGTGCTCCTCATCATCCCATGGCATGTGATCCTGCCCTCCTGACACCTCTGCCAATGCTCTCTCCTTAGCGCTGGG